GGGGGGCTCCTTCCTTGCCCACAGATTTTACCAGGGCTGGGGCAGGGGTGGGCTCCCTGAAGCGCCGTGATCCGCTGGCTTTGCCAGGATTGCTCAGCAGGCCAGCAGTGGCGGTAGTCCCCCCGTCCCCCAACGGGCTTCGTTTAAAGCCCGGTGGAGCAGGTCAGCCAGTCTGGCTGAGAAGAGCCTCCTCCCTAGGGGAGAGAGGTGGAGGCCATCTCTTCCCAGCAGCTCGCTGCCTCTCTCGCCAAAGAGCGGGCTGTGGTCATGAAAGCCAAAGCCTTCCTGACGACACCAGCGCTGCAGTCTTTGGTTGACCAAAATAAGCCCTTCTTATGCCATGAAGGTCACACCGCTCTTTGCTTCACAGACACACAAGGGTGGAGGTTGTAGCCGTGTTGGTCTAAGGACAGAGGCAGACAAGGTTCTTTGGGTGAATCTGATATCTTTTATTCGACCAATTTAAATAGTTGGAAGACAATTATTAAGCAAGCTTACAGGCACACACACACACACATGCGCCCCGAACATAAACTCTTTGAAACAACTCAGCCATTTCTCTTACCGAGCAGGACAGAAGCTAGAGGATGGTGATCGTCCCCAGGCTGCTAACACCAAAAGTTCAAAAATCACAAGTCAGGCCCAGCCTAAATCATTGATTTGGCTGAACAGCATGCGAGTTTGAAAAATAACTAAGCTCACTTCGGGCTCTTCTCATTTGTTCTGTGGTTTCTGACTCTCGGGGACATGCCCAGATCATGGATTTGTACTTTTTCTCTGCCACTAGGAAATCTAGACATTCTTGTTTCTTAATGCAAGCTGAGAGTCTCATGTGGGATCTCACTTGGGTTTAAGTGGGGGTGAAGCATCATTAGATGAGGCATCATGGGAAAATTGCAAACACCGGCAAAACTGCTGTGTCCAGGGAGCTCTGAGTGTCCAGCAGCGAGTGTGTAAGGGGCGGGGGGAGTGCGCACAAACAATAGACATGTGAGGCTTAAGGAAGGCTGCATAAGAACACCCTGAAGCACCCATCGGTCCATGTCCCCCCACAAAAAGCGAGCCCAGCAGCCAAGCCCTAATAGTGCTAGCAAGAAAGCTAAAGAGTGGGACCCCTGGGTGATGAGTGGGGAGCAGGCCACTCGGATTTCTGGATAATGCGAGAGATGGATGGGGGATGGGGTAGAGACACCCGCAGCTAGATTCAAACTGGCGACGCTTGACAGATGGGACTGCCCTAGATTTCATGAGTGCCTGCCGTTAATCCGGCTTCCTGTGCCCTCCCCCCAGCCCACCCCACCGCACTTGCATCTCACTGCAGCTCCCTGGCTTCTCTTTGCTGCTGAGGAGGAAGCTGTGCTTCAACAGCCCTGAGAATGGCACAGCGGGGGCTGGTTTGAAGGCTGTAGCATAGCGCGTCTTCGTTGCACTTCCCAGACCCTTATCTTGCCCCAAAAGCTTCCTCTGCCTGAGGACAGGCTCACACCCAGAGTCCAGTCCAGGTGGGAACGGAAATCCAGGTATAGTTCCCCCCTGCCCAGGTGGCCACTCCATGGAGCACACCACGCACATACACATGGGCAGACTGGGTCTCTCTCCCTTCTTCTGCTGGGTATAAATGCCCCCGTGCATGCCTGTCACCAGGGTGGGATTCTTCAGCGACTCCCCTTCCAACCTGTTGACTGCCCCAAATCAAGCTCTTTGGGACTTGGGAAATGTTCCCTTTGCCGCACAGACCTGTCATTCTCAGCGAAGAGCAGAAAAGTGCATTGCTCTGCTCCACAGCGCCATGTCCTGCAGAATACGGCTTAGGAGATGGCGCAGAGGCACAAGGGAGGCAGGGATGCCTGTAGACGCAGCACTAGACTGGGAACAAGGAACACTTGCACTGTGTAAAAACCATTGCATCAAAGCAGTGTTTGCAGCTCCCTGTCGGTCCCCATTTCAGAATGTCTCCTGGGCTCTTGCCCTCTCTGCCAAATCAAGGGTTTCTCTTAATTTTTACAGTGCAATAAATAACACGTGTCAATATGTGCCTTTTCGATAGGGAAGACATCACTGTGGAGCAGGCCACAGAGTGAAACGTGCCCAGATGGACCTGGTTGCAAAGCTGCATCCATACCCCCTGTATGTGTCTCTAGGATTCACATCCCGTGGTTCCTTGTGCTGCTGCAAGGCTGAGCAGCTCTGTGGTTCTCTCCTGGGGAACTACGGGAGAAAACTGTGTCCATCCCAGCATAGAGGAGGAATTATGGCAAGGCAAGGGGAGCACTTGCAGTTCTCAAGTGATTCAGCCATTCTCCAAAGCAAGCAGCTTAACAGTCTGAGAGGAAGCAGCTCTTGGCTTTATCTCGTACCTGTGGCTGGGCCAGCTGGCTCTGGGGTAGAGAAGCACAGCACCCAGCCCAGAGGGTTTTGCATTTGAACATATTCAAGTAAGAGCCCAAGCCGGCTCTGCAAGTGAAGAGGAGCTCTTACAGCTCAGGTCAGACCAGTGCCTTGTACGATACATAGGTACAAAAAGCCACTGGAGTCCGTGACTGCCCTTCTCAGCACGTGGGTATGAACTAGGCCACATGCTGATTCCACGCCTAATTTTCTTTTCTGCCAAAAAAAATGAAAATGTTAACAAAACGAGATTTTTGGAGGAACCTGGGCTTTCCTTGAACATTTCAGATTATTCATCATGACGTCTTGTCGGTTTTTGACCACTATTATTTTTCATTTTCAGCAGAAACGAAAAGCCAGTTCCCAGCTTCTGACAAACAAACCAAACATATGGTTTCCAGTTTGTCGAGGAAAAGTTGACAGTTTCTGATTAAAATTGTTTGGGGGTTTTTGCAGGGAAGACCAATTTCCAATGAGCTCTAGCATTAACCTTTGACCCCTGACCCATCTCTTGTGACTGCCTTCAGGAAGAGAAGGGAAATCTTTTCCTTCATTTCTGCTCATCAAGCCCTTTTTTGTTTTTTAGCATGGCATCAGATGAAAACTGCAGACTCTGGCCAAATAAAGCCATGCAGGTCCCAGTGTGAACAAAAACCTGTAACGGAGCTGCAGGTCACAGCTGTGGCACATCCAGGTTTTATATTCAGGTCAGCAGTGTTGCAGAGAAACCAGAGGGGATGGCATGTGGCAGGCCCAGAAGTGCATGAGATCCAGTACATTCCAGTGGGAGTACGACTAGGACTGCAACTCATCAGAAAGGTCAAGAATGCATGTAAAATATTGCACAGAAACAGCACCTTTTTGACAGCAAACCTGCTGCCAGGTGAGACTACTGCTCATTATTTTGCAGACTTACTTATAGAGCCAAGTCATGTGAGTCTGAGCAGCTAACAAGAATAATGAGAGGCTGAATTATTTGTGGTACGAGCAATAGCCAGGTGAGCGCCAGGTTATTGTGATAAATAGACTTTGCAGGGGCAGTTTGCCGGGCCAGCCAGAGCTGCTTTGTGCTAGAGCGGTGCTGACATGCAAGGAAGACACTGAAATGGTCCCGGCGAAAATACACCACCCAGACACGAATGGTAAATACATGACAAAGCGCAGGTCTGTTTGCAGTGAGCGTGGAGACAACCGCCGGGAAACACAAAAGGTCCAAGCCAAGGGTGTGGTGTTGGCTCTGCAATGAAAGCACCCGCTGTGTGCAACAGTTGTGTCACTGTCAGCACAAAGAAATTCAAAAGCCAAATGCATTCCTGAAATAGAGACTTTGTGGGGAAAGGGGAAATGATGCTCTGTTGGGGGCAAGACATCCCTGCATTAGGACTAGCAGGAAATTCATTGGGGAGCTATCAGCCAACTCTGCCTGTAATGGGGCTTGGGATTGAACCTGAGCTGGTAAAACCCCAAAGATCTTTTTCCTGTTCCTTGACCCTGGGCACTTGCTGCTTTTCACCAAATGTTCCCCTGTGGTGTCAAAGCTATTTTCTCTTTTCTCTCGTTCCCACACCACACCCAGTGACACCACTTTTACTGAGTGCAGAAGGCATCTGCAGACATGCCCATGTCTCTACCCAACTCCCGCAGCCCCTTCAGCTGGTGCCTACCCAGGCTGCACCTTGTGCCCTGCCAGCCCAGCTGATGAAGCAGACCCAGCAAAAGCCGCAGGGTGAGATGGGGAGGCAGAGGGTGCAGGGTGGGGAGTGGGGGCCTCCACGGTCTGGTGGCTTCCCCGTGGCAGCTGCTGCCTGGTGCCTGTCCCAGCCTGCCAGTGTGGACAGGGGCATTGCTCACCGGTCTGTGTTCAGCACACTGGTAGGCACACAGGGAATGGTTGACCCAGTCTAAAACTGGGTAATCATACCCTGTCCTGGGTTTTCCCTCTACAGCAGTGTCCACCGGAGTGTCTCAGACCTGTTACACTTTCTCCTCCGTTCGCCAGCTGGGGATACCGAGGTCCAAGGACATGAAGCAAATGCCTAAAGAGAGCCCTTATTTCCAACTCACCTGCTCTAACAGCTAGGCCCCGCTTCCTCCTGCAGCCTGCAAAAGAGCCAGGGCTCCTTGCACCCAGCTCCGGCTCTAACCACCAGGCAGGCGTGCCCCTCCCATGTTCTGAGTATTAGGATGCTGGGCTTGCCCACAACCCCTCCCTGGGCTGTTTGTCTGCTGCGCGGCCTCCTCGTCTTCCCAGGCCACTGAAGCGCAGAGTTGTCGCTCTTGCCCTCCCCGCCTAAAGGGAAAATGCGGAGGAGGGGAGGGAAACAGAGTTCCCCGCCAGCCCTTTGCGCGGCTTCTTCTGCTTCTCCTTTCCTTTCAGCTGAAGTGACGTGAATTCTCGGGGTTGCCAGTGTCTAATTATAACCACGGCACGGTGCGGTTAGCTCCCCCACCCACGCACCGTGCTCTGCTTGACAGAGAAGCGAAAGAGGTGCCGGGCCGCGGGCTGGCAGGGAGGAGTCGCGGGGATGCCACCTGCAGCAGGTCGAGGGCTGCCTCCTGGCGCTCCCCACTGTGAACCTCGGAGAAGGACTTTCCATTTGGGGCTAACCACAGCTCACCCCCCCAGCCCTGGCTGAACCTGCCACCGTCTTTTGCTGTCACGCACAGCTCTGCTGTTTCCTCTCTCCAATCCTCCACGCCTGCCACGCTGCTTCTGCAATGTTTTGAGGCCTGAAGGATCTAATGTTAAGTCACCTGGGAGCTGCTGATCACCAGACTGAGCCAAGACACTGGGGCAGGCCTGGCCACAGCAAGGCGTGAAGGGTAGGGGGCTTGGAGGAAGAGGCATGAATGAAGGAGCAATATATAGATCCATCAGGGAAGGGTTCCTGGGATGTTTCCTGTTCCTTATATGCTGGTTGAGTCCTAATTTGCAGGGGAGCAACAAAGCAAGAGAGAAGTATCAGGGCAGGGCTGATGTGTCCTTTTTGTCTCTGCACTCAGCACCCCAGCCACGGTCTCCTGTTGTACCAGGAAATGCAGTGAAATGCAGTTATTTGAGGCCAGATTTCCAAAGGTGCTTGGCTCTGGCTTGGACTCCTAAATGAATAGACCGATTTTCAAAGCCCCGCATGTCGGGGGCTGAGCTCCTGCAAGTCTGCAAGTCTGTAAGTCCAACATGTATTCAGATTTCCAAAGGTGCTTGGCTCTGGCTTGGACTCCTAAACGAATGGACTGATTTTCAAAGCCCCGCATGGACCAATTTTCAAAGCCCCGCGTGTCGGGGGCTGAGCTCCTGCAAGTCCATCCTGTGTCTATGTGCCTAAAAGGGAGCCGAACTTCTGGAAAAGTCCAGTCCTGATTTAAGCACAAGGTACTTGGAGGTTTGAGCTAGAACCTCCCTGTGCCAGCCCCATGGTAAAATGGGTGTGCAAATCCTTCCCTTGTCTCTGCCATGTTATTCAGAGGTGGGAGAACGTATACAGGGCAACATGGCCTTCTGCTCATCCTCTCCCACTGCATACAACACCAGGCCAACTGTCCGGTGCCAGCCATAGTGGTTTGGGGATATGTCTTTCCTGCCATTTGCTGTGAATTAGCTTACAGTTCTCCAGGAGCAGGAAAAGAGGGAAGAGGTGGGCATTTCCATCCAGTATAGGACGCCCTACTAAAAGGATGGAGTTTGCTCTCGAAGGCAGAATAACCCTTCAGCTATCACATGCCATGTAGGCTGCGTAAAGCCAAAGGGAACTGCTACTGCTCGGCCCTTCAGCAAAAGAGGACACCAGGCAGCACAGACCTGCTAAGAGCAGGTTTTACCAGACACAGGCGGTGCAATGCTCTGGGCAGGGCTGCAGAAGAGGGGGTGACATACGGAGAATCGATTTTGTTCAAATATTTGAAAAAAGTCTCCAAAAATTGGCTTCAGTTGGAAGGGCCCACTAGGAGTAACAGTGTGTCTAGCAGGGCAGAAATGTCCACTCAGTCATGAAAACCCATGCTGGACCTGGGGATCATTGGTAAGGCCCTGAGTTAGGCTATAAAAATCTGGGTTCAGTTTCTGGCATTGCTGCAGTCCCCTCGTGCACCCTCGAGTAAATGTGTTAACCTCCCTGTGTCTCAGTTCCCCATTTGTCAAAGGTCAATGATGATATTTCCTTTGTCTGTCTGGTTGCTTTAGACTGGAAGATGTTGTGGGTGGGAATGGTCTTTACTTGTGTATCTTCTTAATGCCAGCCATCACAGAGGGGCTCCTGATCTGAGTTGGGTGCTCTTGGGGCTACAGTAATCCTTCTGTGAATTCATGATATCAATTAACTCTGCGGAAGAGGGCGGTGGGCACGAGGGTAGTGGAGTTCCCAGATCAGACCAGTCCTGGGTGGGCTGGGAATAAGGAGTGGACGGAGAAAGAAAACCAAGGGACCTCAAGAGATTAGAAGCATAAAAAGTAAGAAAAAAAATCAGTTTGGGAAAAGCAGCCAGGGAAAAGCAGCCTAGCTCACAGGAGGAGGAAACCCAGGGGTCTGTGACCTTCTAAGGACTTGGTGTGAGAGAGCACAAGAAACTAGACACGTGCCGGCCATGACAAGGGACAGCAGAAATAACTAGTGCTCACCCAGAGATCTCATCCAGGCCTTCTCTGTTCATTTTCTAGGAGGCCACCCCTGGGATACTGCCAGTGCGTGCCAGTCCGGTCACTTTGTTACCAAGATGTGATAAAAGTAGAAGCAGGAGAAAATGGTTGTGGAGTGAAGACCCACCCGAGCATGGGACCTGGGTTCATGTTCCCTGCAGTTTCTATGTGACCCTGAGCAAGTCATGTAGGGCCAGCTTCTCTATACCTCCTCCTCCTCGCTATTTTTGGTGACTCAGTCTTAAGCGTGCAATGACAGTGTGTCACCAAGAGCACACACCAACTGCTGAAGCTTTCTTAGCCTGACGAAGGGTTTTTGAACCCGAAAGCTTGCTTAATAACTATTCTCCAACCATTTGGGTTGGTCTAATAAAAGATATCAAATTCACCCAAGGAACCTTGTCACCAAAATAGATGCATTCGTGGATTTTCAGGGACTTGAACAAGGTGGGATAGAGCCACACATAGGTGCCTGCTGAAGTCCATGTAGATACTTAATAGACGATATTGGATCTGACTCATTAGTTCTTTGTGCCTTGCTTTGCTATCTGGATTTCAAGGATAAAAGCACTTTGCTACTTTACAGGATATTTGGGGAAAGAAATGTATTAAAGATTGGGAGGCGGTGACCAGAAAAGTGTCGTTGGTGCAATGCATTAAGGAATAATAACAGAAATGATGTAGGGGCTGAAGACTGAAAGATGCATCAACTAGAGTTCAGCAGTGACGCAGAAAGGGAGAAGAGGAATTTAATCAAAGCTCTTCTATAAAATATTTCCCCATTTCTTTCCTCCAGAAATTTGACATTGTTATTTTTTTTAATTGAAACCAAAAGGGGAAGTGTATCAAAGAAATGCCCAAATTTCCTCTGGTTGCATTACCAATGTTGACATTTTGAAAAAATACCCCAACTGTGCCCTGACCTCAGGGGCTGCAAACACTGGAGGGGCATGAATACCAAACAGAGATGAAATATTTAGGGGTCCAGAGGGAGTGTGGAGGGGATGTATGTATATCTGGTCTCCTGCCGGGGGAGGATTGGAACGTCATTAAGGGAAGTTACAGCTGAATACCAAGCTGCAATGGAGCTCAGTCAGCCCCTGGAACTGGCTCCCAAAGGAAGCGATAGAAGAACTCGGGACATTTAAGACTGGAAAATGTCCTTGGTATGCTTGCTCGAGCATCTGCTTCTGTGCTGCTGCAAGGGGACAGATTAGGGAAGACTTCAGAGGTTTCTTGCTCCCATGACTGTAGCTAGCATGTAAAAACCAATCCCTGAGGAGACAGTCACCTCACTCCATGATGGTTTCTATTAGTCCTAGAATGATGCTGAAACTCAACAGAATGTAATGAAACCCAATAAGGGAAGAAAACTGGGTAAAGAAGGGAAATCCCCAGGCAGGTCCCACAGAGCCAGGCAGCCTCCCCTCTCCTCTCCCCCTGGTGTGGAAACAAAGCATGCTGCTAAGCTCTCCAAGACCCTGGGGACTCCAGGATCAGAGGGAACAGGGGCAGGGTGGGATAGATTGGCCACATGTGCAGCTCCAGGGAAGGTGGGTGAATATACTGCCAACATGGTAGCCTCCGGAGAGATTATCTCCAGGCCCAAGAACAGCAGGAAGTTGGGAGACGTTGGCATAACAGTGGCCTAGAGCTGGCAAAACATTGTGATGCCTTCAGCTGCTGCTCACCCTCACATAGGATGGTTCATGAGGAGAGCTGATGGCACTTTACAAAAGAGGATCAGTATCAATATCCCCATTTTACTAATAGGGAAAACCGAGGCACACAGCCAGCAAATGCCCAAGGTCACCTAACACGTCTGTGGCAGGGCCAGAAGTCTGCCATCCCAGTCTGGTAGGCAGCACTTTTCTCAAGCATAGTGCTCAGCATCCTCTGTGCTCCCTGAGCCTGGCAGGAGCAGGGAAGTACCAGAGTGCCCCAGAAAGAGCCACGCGCACCATATTCCCAGCCTGACCTGGGGGGAGCAGGTGGCATCTGAGAAACCCCCTGCCATCCCCAGACCAGGCCTGTGCCCTGCTCCAGCTCCATGTCCAGCTGAACCTTCCCAAGGTTTAGCCACTGAGGCTGCTTATATATTTATGCATTTGTTTGGATGTCAACAGTGAATATCTCGCCTACCCTAGGCCCTCAGAGCCAGCACACATTAACGATGCAAAGTCCCAGCGGCACTAACACGATCAGTTC